CTTTCCCAGCTGAAAACAAAACACCCTGCAAACTGCCATGGGCAGTGTCCGGGTTGAAAATAAACCCTCTGTGAGTTGCATTAAGTATAGAAAGAAATTACTTACCTGCAGCTACGTAGTGACTGTCTTTGAGCTGGAAACTGCAGCCAGAGCTCTTGAATCTCAGGCCAGCACTTTAAGGGAAGGGGTGAAGTTTTCCAGCTGTTTTGGGGTCAGTGCTCCTCTTGGAAGTAACGGCAGCCTTGGTGTGATGGAGAAGTTCCTCTCTGTTCAAATGGAGTAAAAAGGGAACCTGGACAGTTCTTGCAAGGCTTAAACAGCAAGAGAACATCCACTTTTTAGTGTTGAAGCTTTCTGTGAACTCCAAACAGGCATCCCTTTGGGCCCTGAAAACTATTTAACTTATTAAAACCGTTTGAATTTATTAAACCAACTGATAATTGGCCCATTGATGATACAGTTTGGTTAACACGGGAGAGCTTCTCTACAGAATATAATACAAGTCTTGCTGTCAAAGCAGGGCTTGGTCTGGCAGGGATTTGAATGTGCACTGTTGTGAGTTAAGACAGTGAAAAGCTTTTAGACTGGGAAGGGTGGATGATTTTTAAGAGCCCTAAACCCAAAGAAACTCAAATGCTCTCGATCTGCTGAGATAGGAGCCATTTCCACCCTGATAACTTACAAAAAGCCCATATCGCTGCGAGATAAAACGCCCGCAGCAGCTATTGCCCGAGTTACTTGGTGCTGACTGTGCCACCGCAGAGATAAGGGAGAGCTTGGAGGTCTCTGTACCCGGAGGGGGTCTTGGCACCCACTGTGACTGCTGGGCTGCACCGGGGGCTGATCGAGGAGCGCCCCCGCTAACCACCCTCTGCTTGACTCCCCACAGTTGCCACCCCAATCAACACAGCCTTCGTCTTCCTTTCCCTGGGGATGGTGTCGACCGTCTTCTTCCTGGGCAGAGGTGCTGCCGTGGCACAGGACACGGTGACGTTTAAAGGGAGGTCTCTGCTCTCCGCTCGCAGGGATGAGCTTGGGTCGAAGGTGAGCCGGTTCCTGAATCTGGGTGATGGAGGGAGAGAAGATAAACTCTGGGGTGGACATGTGGACCAGCGTGATCCTGCTTAGTTCTCAGGCGGGGCGAGGGGTAGATGGGGAAATCAAAGGCTGGGTTTTGGCCCTGCTGTTGTCTTGCACGGTGCTGTGGTGTGACTGGTAAGCGCATCTCCAAAAACACGGGGGCTGCTTGTGATCCTCCCCCTTGCCTTGCAGCCTTTCAGCAGGGGTGAGATTGTTGGCTTCACCATCGGCTCCATCTCCTCCGTGCTGTACCTGTGCTCCCGAGTGCCCCAGATCTACACTAATGTAAGCGTGCGGGCAGAGGGGGCTGGCAGCTCGGTCCTGGGGACCCCCTGGGCTCCTGAGATTTCAGATTGAAGAAGGGCAGCGGGATCATCTTTCTCCT